TTAATGTTTTTGAAAAAAGAAAACCACTAAATAAGTAAATATGACCGTATACATAAAAGAAACAAGGCATGGACATAACCAGAGAAAAAGTAGACATGATAGAAATTTACCTTGACATCCAAAGGTTAGATAAGGATTGCCTTGAAATCCAAGATCACAAAGACATTGTCGAGTTGTGTTTAGGGGCATTAAAGTGGAAGAAAAGCCATGGACGATATAATTCTTGTAATGGGTACAATAAAATGCATGATCATATTTGTATGGTAATCGTGGTGTATCCACCTCAGTAATCACCCAGTTAAACACATCTGTAACATATTCTTTAAGGTCAAGGGGGAGCCCAAGGGGAAGATGAAAGGACTTCCTGAGAAATTCACAGATTTCAACTCTGTAGACAAGTTCCGGGAGATTATTGGTATTTTGACGGCAACAAATTAAGCTTGAATCAAGAGAGAAATACAGCACCTCAATTTCTATGCTGGTTAGTAGAGTTGTAGGAGGGGTGGAAGTTTCATTGCAGGAGACCTCAAACCATTTGTTCATGTAGCAATCTGCTCCAATTCCAAAGGGGTATGGAGGGCTGACATTCTCACAAAACTCTTGACAACCAGGCATTGCCAGAGCCTGTCCTCCTGCTGATTCAATCATTAGCAGTTCTAAGAAAGCAAAAATAGATAATGTTGGGATGATCATTATCCTTTTGTTCCTCAGATACTTATTAGATTTGAGATTTAGATAGCATTGTGTAAATGGAACTTTATAATATATAGTTGAGATGAAGAAATGTATCCATGTTTCTATGCATGGTCTGGGACTAACTGCCCAAACAGTGAAGTTCTAAGGAAGAAAGAATCAACTGGCTGGCTTCACTAACACTGTAATACAATGTTTACTAGAAAAATTTAATCCACTCGAAAATTCCTCCCTTTTTTTTACCTTTTTCCCTTCTAGAGGATGATTGGTCCACTTGGATGGAAATTCTTTGCTTCTTTTTTACATAAAATTCTAATGCTTGAGGGTCCATTTGGTTTGTGAAAAATGACTCCATTTTGGAAAATATTTTCCTCCAAAAAGATTATTTTTGGTTGTTTGGAAATTGGAACACTTTGGAAAACGTTTTCAAGAAAATATTTTCTGTTTTTTTGGTAAGCAAAGAAAAATCTTCATACTTTCGTAAGATCCACTAAGCAAGGAAATACATACTCAATGTTTAGCTGACTGTTGATTTGCTATTTGAGTGGTGAACATTTTAGGGTAGTTGAGCTGAAATTAGGAAATGACTTTGTGCTAGCCTTTTGAGAAATAAAAATAAATTACTCATGCATACACGTTAATACGGATATGTATATAGCACCAAATCTAAAAAGTACGTGATATTTATCATGTGTTGAGGACTTGGTTTAGCCTTGGCAAGTTTTTGACTGTGTTTGGGCACAAAATATAAAAAAAACAAAAAAAACACCAAAAACCTTGGCAAGTTTTTAATAAGTCAAAATGAATTTAAAACAGAAATAGAAATGGTTCAATAATACTTTAGCCTGCCAATTATATCATAACCATGTTGCGCATAATATTTATTTGAACTTTGAACTCCAAAGTGAAAAAAATAAAAATTGAATGAACTAAAAATTTTCAACACAAACAAAGAAAGAGCGTATTATGTCCCCAAACATGGAATAAATGCATTCTAGGATAGATCAGTTACAGCCCCATGATTCACTGGAAATTAATGGCTGCATTTCTAAAGACAAAGCTGCTTCAGAGTCCAAACCTGAACCTATTGAAGTTGAGGCACCATCCAGAGATTGGTTACTTCAGTTTTGACATACCTAACCGCTTCATGATTTTGTTGACTATTTCAAATGTTTTGCAAAAGACGAATCTGCTCTATCTCTGCAGCAACTTCTGTCATCTTTGGCCGCTTTTTACCACTCAAGCACAAGCATCGATATGCAAGTTTAGCAACCTTTGCTATCTCTTAATGTGCAGAACTTTTCCTTACTTGAGCATCAAGAATATTAAGAGTCTATTCTCTTCCATGGAAAAAATGAAATGTGAGACCAAACTTCTTGCTTCCACTTCCTCCATCCCTACTAAGGAAATTGGTTTTCTCTAGTTAAAAGCTTAACCAGGACAAATCCAAAATTGTAAACATCACTGTTTTCTATAAATTGACTTGACTGGAAATATTCATGGTCCAAGTACCCAAATGTGCCCTTCACATTTGTGATTAAATGAGTTTGATCAATGGCAATTGATCTTGATGTGCCAAAGTTTGAAACTATTGCCCTGTACTTTTCATCTAGTAGAATATTTGAGGACTTGACATCTCTATAATAATTGGAAATGCAGGCTGCTGAGTGCAAGTAGGAAAGTGCACCTGCAACTTCTGCTGCAATTGTTAACCTTCTTTCCCGGGGTTAATGGAAGTCCTCATTGTAATCATGTGTGTACTGGACAAGTGTCCAGTTAGAGATGAATTCATAAACAAGCACAGAAACTTCAGTCTCCAAACAACTGTCTAATAACTTAACAATATCTCTGTGATTAATTTGTGTAAGAATAACCACCTCATTAATGAATTCTTTAACTTTCTCTTTATGCAGTATTTTGGACTTCTTAACTGCAACAATTCTTTCACCAACCAGCATTCCTTTATAAACAGTGCCCTGGCCTCCTTGACCAAGTATTCTATTCCTGTTGAAATTGTTAGTCGCTCTCTCCAACTCTTGGGTACTAAATATTTTGGTCTTTTCAATATTACCCTCAGTTAAAGATAGTTGTTGCTTCAATAATTAATCTCCATTTTGTTTGATGAGCTGCTTTTGAAGATTCTTTTTCTTTCTCTTCTTTAAGATTTTGTACAACGACCATGTACCAATAGGTAAACACACTACTCCAAACCCTAGGCTAATTCGTGCAGATATCAAGAAAGAAGAAACATACGACTTTAGCAAGAGAAACGGATGTATATCTACACTTGATTTATATAAAAGTCTAATTTCATGGTTAGACTATTCAAATTTCAAAATGAAATGGAATGAAATCAATAAAAGTCCACGGAATTGCGCATGGTCTTTAAGAAAGATCTTTAGGTGAAAAAGATAATGAGAGATGGAGTTAGTGTTGAAGCTGGGGATGGTAGATAGACAAACAAACCTCCCTTTGTTATGACTGTTGGCTACCAGAAGACAGAATTTGTGAAAGACTAGAAAAAATAGCTGAGTTCACCGTGGGCAGCATGAAACAAAAGTTCTCAGTGGAGACAATCTGGATGGCAGATACCAACTTGATATTCTGGTATGGTGGCTGAGATGAGAGGCTTGACTTTGTCTAAGGGAGCAGATAATGTTTTCTTGCACTCAAGAGGCCTATCAATCAATTAAAGTTTTCAATTGTCAATTGATGAGATTCCAAGTTTATAGAGTTCCTTGGTTTAGAGAGGTGTGGCACTGTGGCATTCTAGTGAATCTGTTTAACCTATAGATGCTAGTGACAAGCTCTGTTGAAGACATAGGTACTGAACTGCAGGCGTATGCGTTTGAGTTTAAAATTGATTTATATTCTAAAATGATAAATAAAAGTCCAAAAATATGGATCTTACCCAAAATTATAGGCCAGGCTATTTTGCCTATGGGTTTGCAAGCCTAGTCCCCTATCTTATTTACACAAATTGAGTCCCAACCACAGTTAAAAATGTGCCTGGGGTCATATTGCGTTTGTCAATTTCTAAGACAAAAAGTAAATAAATAAAATCAGCAAGACAATACTAACAAAAATAAAAAATATCATAGGCATAATAAAAAAATTCCAATTGGTACACCAGCCACCCTTGGTTTACCTTGACATCCATAAGGTACGGAGGGAAGAAGTATTATAAAGAAGGAAGAATTAGCAATAGTACCATTAAACTGGGAACAATTAAATGCATGATCATATCTATATGGTAATTGTGATGCATCCTCATCAGTAATCACCCTGTCTAACAAAGCTGGAACATATCCCTCAGGGAGCAACAACATTCTCCCTTTGTAGGACATGAGAGGACTCCCCGAGAAATCCAAAAAATTCGAACTTACAGAACACTGCTGGGAGGTGATTGGTATTTTGACATTAACTATACTGTGATCAAGAGAGAAATACAGCACCTCAGTCTCTATGCTGGTTAGTAAATTTGTAGGGGGGTTGGAAGTTTCACCGCAGGAGACCTCAAACTCTTTGTGCATGTAGCAATCTGCTCTGATTCCAAAGGGGTATGGAAAGCTGACATTCCCACAATGCTCTTTACAACCAGGCTTCACCGGAGCCTGGCCTACTGCTGATTCAATCATTAGCAATTGTAGGAAAGCAAAGGCAGATGTTCACGTGATGATCATCATTTTTTTGTTCCTCAGATGCTTATTAGATTTGAGATTTACGAAACATTGTGTAAATGGATGTTTATATGGTACAGATGAAGAAATGTATGTAGGATGCATGTTCTGGGACTAACTGCCCAAACATTGAAGTCCAAACTCCAAAGGAAGAAAGACTCAATGGGCCGGATTCCCTGAATATAATATGATGCATTACTAGAAAATTTTAATCCACTTGAATATTCATTTTTCCTTTAGAGGATGGTTGGTCGCCACTTGGAAATATTCTAAGCTTTTAGTTTGACATAAAAATTCTAATGCTTAGATATCATTAACTCATTCACCTGTTGACCAATTAATTAATACTCCTTTTAGTTTGATTTAGTTGTCTCACTTACTAAATAGACCTAGTCTAATTAGTTGTCTTAGTTGTTAAATAGAGGCTGTCAAATTTAGTTATCTCACTTTCTATTTTAAAAAGATTTTTTTTTTTTTATGAAATTTTAAAAAGACTTTAAATACTAGTATTTCAATTTTCATTATCTGAGATGAAATAAAAATGCATTTGAGTTTTTTGGTTTAATTGTAAGGATGAAAATGAAAAGATGTAGACTGAATTATATCATCTTGGTTCTCCATATTATGCACAGTGGACATTAGGCCTCTTCTTGTCTTATGATACTTGTTTTGACTTTCGAGTTTGCAGATGGAAGAAAACTACTTGGAAGGCTATTTTAAGGGAATAACTGTCTACTTTGGCGCTTCTGCACATAGGTAAGTCTTGTTACCTGGTTTTTCAATGCTATAATTACCATGTTATCTTAGAATATGCTATTTTGGCTATACAGGAATTAAGGGCATTTCATGCTAGCCTGATGGTTGTTTTGTTAATGCTGAAGGTGTGAATAACTATATTTTCCTTTCAAATTTCTCCTCATACTTTCATAAGATAAACCAAGCAAGGAAAATATACTCAATGCTTTACTGTGAATACTGCTGCTAAGATAAATTTATCTGAGTGGTGAAAGTTTCAGGATAGTTGAGCTGGAATTAGGAAATGACTTTGTGCTAGCATTTTGAGGAGTATGATTAAATAACTCATGCATACACATATTAGTATGCACATAGCACCAAATCTAAAAGTTGACTTAATTTAATCTTGGCAAGTTTTTGTGACACAAAGAATTTAAAACTGGAAAGGAAATGGTCTTATGCTCTTAGCTGTCATCATGATATCAAATTATTGTAACCGAGCAGTGCATAAACTTTATTTGAACTTTAAACTACAAAGCAACAAAAATAAAAATTAGATGAACTACAAATTTTCAAACACTAAAGAAAGAAAGAGCTTATTATGCTACTCAACATGGAATAAACGCATTCTAGGATAAATCAGTTAAATCCCTGTGATTTATTGGAAATTAATGGCTGCATATCTATGGACAAAGAAGCTCCAGAGTCCAAACCTGAACCTATTGATGTCGAGGTACCATCCCAGAGATTGGTTACTTCACTCTTGACATACGTAACCTCTTCATGATTCTGTTGACCATTTGAATTGTTTTGCAAAAGACGAATCTGCTCTAACTCTGCAGCAACTTCTATCATCTTTGGCCGCCTTTTACCATTCAAGCTCAAGCATCGATGTGCAAGTTTAGCAACCTTTGTTATCTCTTCATGTGCAGAACTCTCCCTAACTCGAGCATCAAGAATACTAAAGAGACCATTCTCTTCCATGGAATGAATGAAATGAGAGGCCAAACTTCTTCCTCCTTCTGCCCTTGCTAAAGAAATTGGTTCCTCTCCTGTTAAGAGCTCAACAAGGACAACGCCAAAACT